ATCTGCAGTACATATATACATACAAGGAATAAATTCTTGAAATATATTTGATTTAGTTTACAGATAAACAAGAGAAAAAACAGTGCGACACGTAACGTAGCTTATATACGCTGAGTTTGTTCATTTTTGTGACAGGCTTAATTTGTTCACAAAAAAGAAACTCAAATGGCAGAAAGCGACATCCTATTTGTTTTCTTTATTTTACAAAAGCACAATGTTTTGTTTTCATTGTGAGTGTACACAAATAAAAGCAGACCTTTATACAGTGATGCATTATTAATGACAATAAGTGTTTAAAGTTGATTCTGCTGGAAACAGTTGAAGTGATCGCCCCGGCGCGCACACATACACACACACACACACACACACAAACACATCAGTTCCAGCATTGATAACTTGACAGCGCAGTTGGTACTTTATCAAAATAAAACAGTGAACCAAACATCAGCGCGCCCGCCTCTGTGTCACTGTTGGAACGCGACTGAAGTACAAAGCCTATAATTTACATAATAAATAATAGTTTAGCATTCAGATACGTTACATCGCAAATATGGAAATATTATGGATTATTTGGATTAGTGCCGAATGAGAGAGGTTGGATACACGAGCACAAAGCTCCATTTCGCAAACAGTTGAGTGCACAAGCCTTTAAAGTATACTCCTTTGTCAGTCTGTGAGAGAAGCATTCAGAATCAGCACATGGTAACTGTCTACTAGTGGGCTTTGTTTTCAAGTGCGCAACTCATGGCATTCGCTGTTCTTCTGCTGGTGGCCGGTTATCAAACAGTGTTGCATTGCTGCCGGCGCCTCGTTCTGGATTGGGGGTGAATTGCCTGTATTATAGACGTTGTAAGGCCTCATGCACCGAACCGAGATGTCCGTACCGTGGACACATGTTTCGGTACGAATACATGTATCGTTCCACGACACCCGATATGCTGCGTAACGTCAGATGATTTTTTTATATACACCTGAGACCCAGCAAAGATAAAGCTACTTAGTTTTTTAATTAAGATTATTATTATTAATACAAATATTTCATATATCATACATGCAAACATTATTCGTGATCATATTAATATTATTAATAACATTAACTAAATTTATATTAATATATTGGCAAACTGTATAATACAATTTTTCATATTGTAATGTTGGCCACACCCTGAAACGTAGAACAATAATTGAATAAAAATGTATTATAGTTTTTATTTATATAATTATCATTCTCTCTCTCTCTCTCTCTCAATATATATATATATATATATATATATATATATATATATATATATATATATGTCTGAATATATACCTTTAATTTGTGAGTATGCAGTTGTAATTGATAATATAGAAATGAAAATTAGAATATATAGATAAGTCTGAATATATAGATACAGAACTGAATATATAAATGTAAATCATGAATGTGTGTATAGAAGTAAATCTAGAAGAACATATAGAATATAGTTTGAATATATATATTGTGAATATATAGTTATAATTCTGACTATATAATTGTTAATCAGAATGTATATTTAAAGTATCGAGTATATTAAGTTCTAATTCTGTATAAAAGGTATATATAATCAACATCTTTAAATCAGTAGTTCTCCATTGTTTTATTTATTTATTTTATTTCATTGTTTTATGTTTCTTTGGACTGTAGTTCTTTCCCCCATTAAAGCCATTGGATCTTTGTCTTCTTATCTGATATTCAAATACTTTTTTTCTTTAAATCAAAGTTGGTTATTCACCTTTTTGCTAATTGGTGTGATTCATGGCTTATAACTCGTCAACAAAGATTTTTAAAAATCCCTATGGGAAATAAATAAATGAAAAAAAAAACTTCTAGAACCAATGGCATTGAAAAAGTTTGTAAGTTTTGATGTAAGTTTTGTGTTTTAATAAACAGAAGCAGTCATCATTTTTTCAGCTCTCTTGCATTATTAGCATATGTACGTGCGTAACCAAGCAACAGATTCCAGCTATGCATGTATGCATGAAAAATTGAAACATGGACTTTAATGTCGAATGGTTTTGCAGCATGCCATTAACAGAGTGCGGCGGAATAATAATGCGCTGTAGTTATGGCACTTGAGGAGCTTAGCGGACACGTTAAAGGTCACGAGGGCTGAAGAGGTGCTTTGTCCACGAGCCCATCAACATTCTTAGACAATAATGACCTTTAACAGCTTCCACAACTCTCTAAGGTTCAGCCTCAATGTGGGTTGTAGGAACTCAACGTTTTTTCAGTAACACTCATAAAGAGTTGCGCTTGTAAATTCAGCGGCTTAATGTTTTATTAGCCCTGGAGTGGATCGATAGCGCGAGACTTCCCGCCTGGCCAAATGCCATCATTTGGATAGCAATATCTTAAATTTAACCAAAAAAGGTTAAGCCCCCACACTATGGCCTATTAAAGATGCAGGGTTGTTAAAATTGAAAATGTCCTAAGTGTGCTTTTCCATTTTTCACTTGAGAACAAGAGCGGTCAAAATGTAACATAAGCTAGTTGTTCGGTCATGCTCAGAATCACGGTTGAAGCAGCACCGTATCTCTCCTCAACCCACCTTTGTCTTTTGTCTCTCAGTCTCAGAGCTAGATGTCGACTATAGGGTTCACGGATACTGTCTTCCAGGCCGATGAATAATGGATCCTGAGCTGTGGCATCTGGCAGAGATAGCGCCAGGAGAGTGAGGTTAAGAGAGATTGGGGATGTTAGCCGGTTGTGTTGTCGTGTGTATGTGTGTGTCTCAGTCCCACATACGAGCCCGTTTTCAGTTGCAGCGGGGCTTGAAGAGAATTTAATGACAGTGGACTGAGAGGCACGGCGAAATTGAATAGGGTATCCTAAAAAAGAGCTCTTTTAGTACCTCTGTATCTCCCAGGACTGGGATAAAACAACCCAGCGGAGGAGCAAACGAACAGGAAAAAAGTGTGTGGGAGAGGGAGCGATTGTACGCTCGTTATATTGCAGGAATATTAAGTCGTATCCAAATTATGTGGGAAGAAATTGAATGTACTTCTACATGTTCGCACATATATTTTCATCAGTAGCCTACTCTTCTTTTTGTCTTGTTTGAAATGTTTCTCAGTAGTTCTGGAGCCTGTAGCGCTAAAACAAGTGCAAACAAGAGACTGTAGTGAAATTGTTATTATTTATTTTTTTGGGAAAAAAGCCTCTTGACTTGTTTCTAGTAGCCTGAATCCATAATGACTCAAATTCTCATGGTAACAGGGGAAAATGCAAGAGGTGGAATTGGTGATTGCTTGACCGAGAGCGAGGCATAAGTTTAGAGGAGTGTGCATGCTATTTGGTCTTTGAATTAAACAACCTAGAAAGATTCAGCTTATTTCAGTAGCGCTGTTTGCTAAGGCTAGGGTCACTGTTTCTCTAACCCTCATATTTATATTCAGACCATCAGCGCACTTGCAAATTTTATACTACAAGAAAAAGAAATTAACATTGAGTAACTTACATTTTAGAAACAATATTGATAGTTATTTTGTTGATCTGCTAACAAAAAAAGTTTGAAGCTCATTGTTAGCAACACATAGTAGTGGCATTTCTGAATTTAGCGTTTGTTGAACAAATCGCTTGAGTAAATAATTCAATGACTCACTCGTATAGACAGTCACTTGTTTGTTTCCTGAATGAATCAGTGTTTTGACAGATTTGATTAAGTGAATGATTCACTGAATCACTCAAAAAGACTATTAAAACTCTTAACACTTAAATCAATGTTTCATACAGAAAGAGTCATTAAGTCTTTGAAAAATAATGGAAATTTCCAAAGTGTGGACCTAACAGAACATTTAATGCATTCTTTTTTTTTTTTATTTAAACAATCTTATACATTACAACTTGAGATATAAGTATAACTGGTAGATAAAAAACACTTTTCTATTATGATTAATAATAAGTCTTTTTGAGTGATTCATTAAAAGAAACAACTCAAACTCCTTTGCATAGTTAGAGCTACTGTATGGGTATGATATGATTTCTCAAACTGTGCATCTTGAGGAAAGTGTGCTATTGTATTTCAAAGCAATTTAAGAGACCACTTAAGCAATACCTTGGCACCTGCAACACCCTTGCATTGTAGAAAAAAGTTTTGCACTGACAAGCACCACTCAGGTTTTTTCAAAAAATTTAAAAATCTGTTATTTAAATCAGTGAGCTGGGTGTATTTTTAATCCATTTAACTTACAAAACCTCAAACTCATGCACTTTTTCATAATTCTGTCGCTTTGCATATTTATAAGGTTAGCTTTAGGGCCAGCGTTTTATAATATATTGACCTGTGTAATACAGTAATGTAACCAAAATCAATGCAGCGGACTTGCAAAGCACTATTACTGTTCTTTAAGTTGCACAGGCAGGCTTGGTCAGAAAACTTTTGATTAAATCAGACTGTAAATATAATTATTTTTCTTCACCACTTCACCACTATGTATGTATATGAATATAGACATCACTTCCTGTGGACGCTGCCTCAGCAGTGCATTCCATGCAGGCTCTATGCAGCATGAGATGGGGCTAATCCTTCACGGAGCAGGTGTTCCTTTAGTGTTTGTGACTTGGACATGTTCCCAGGAATTTGGTGGGAATGCACAAACTGACCAATTAGCTGACGTTAGCTGGAGGGCTGCGTTCCCAGAGTAACTTGCGTTTCTTCCTCTTTGCATGACCATACTGTGACATAATCTTTACATCCCTTCTCCATCTGTGTGTTTCTCTTTTTAACTCTCTACTTGTGTAGTGTAATTCACCTGGTCAGCTCCCGAGCGTAGAAGGAACGGACGTTTGTGTTGTTTTCTTGAACTGAGACCCGAGAGCGGATCCGGCAAACTTGGCTCACACCATAGGACTTGTAGCTGGGAACTGGGGGCAGCCAAAAACCATTTCATACCAAATCATACACCGCCACCTATGGTGAAGAATAGCTATCACCACCAAGCAGAAACTTCCTCATTTGTGCCCCTCCCCTCCTCTGCAGAGTCGACTGAAGACCCATCCAGCGCTGGCGTGGTGGCCGGAGCCATTCTGGGAAGCTTCTTGGCCCTCATTTTGGTCGGCGCGTTGGTTACCGTGTTAGTGATGCGAAGTCGCCGCCATCAGCATGGATATTCGGGCGACGGTGAGCAGGGCGCTTACGGCAACAAAACCCGTCTTTTTGGAGGCAAGAAGGCTAGCAAGAACGGCGCAGGGGCCAACAATAACGGGCCAATCTACACATACCGCGAAAGCGAGCCAGGCGCCCTGACGGAGAATTGCAACGAGTTCCCGCGCATTACCGGAAGCACTCCAAACGCCCATGACATCCTGTTGAGCGGCGAGCTGAATGAGGCCGAGCGCAGGAAGTTCGACGCCCTGAACGACAGCCTGGAGGATGAAGAAGAGGACGAAAGGTTCGACCACTTCAGCGGACTGCCGCCCAGCTACCAAATCCACCGGCATGAAGACGAGTGCGCATCTTATCTGGACGACGACATGGAGTCCCAGCGAGACGGGTCCATCATTTCCCGGACTGCCATTTATGTCTAGAGGAAGCAGATAATATACACCTGACTGATATTTACTTGACCTTTTAGAACAAAAAAGACAGAAACTTGCCATCTGAGGAGCCGAAGCAGAATGGTTAATGTCACATCTGTGGACGAAGGCATTATCAAACCGAAAACACAAATGAATGCTGCTCGCCTCACGATGCATACTTTTAATGCATAATACTGACTGAAAATAAGAGTGATTTTGTTGTTGTGTAACTGTAACGTCCTGTTAACGCCCATTCTAGCCAGAATCCATGTTGTTCACTCCCATGAGCACAATACTCTTTGAAGTGAAAAGAAAGCATTATGATTACCCATACAGGATTGTCAATGCTACGAGTGGCTCAGCAAGCTGTGACCTAGAAGCTAAGGCCGTTGTCTCCAGGTTGCATATTCCAGGCTTCTTTTATCAAATCCTGGGAATGTCGTCTTCGAGAACAGCTGGATGTTTTGTTAGCGAAACAGAAAACGGGCAACGCAACGCTCGCTCCAGCATCTGGGTCATTCATCTGTGATCAACTCCAGCTGTGAACGCTTTTAACTTTCCCCCACTATTTTTTAGCTCTCGTTCATTAATCGGATGTCTTGTTACGCTAAAGGAATTTTCTGAATGACTCGAGGGGTTCTAGGCAGAGGCGTAATAGTGTTTTTGTTTTTTTCCCTCTTCATACTCTCCTGTCAACCTCTGCAGAACGGTTTGTTCCGGGCCATGTTTAATTCAGAAGTGTTGTGCATTAGCCGTGTGCGTTTTGGGCTGATGCATGTTTTTTCCAACCCCTGATTAATCCAGTTATATCAAAACCATTGAATGCAACATCTAAAAACTGCAAACACGAGCACGACTAGCATCAACACGAATCCTTCCGGGAGGAAATAGGCTTGGATTCTTTACTGTGTTGTCTTTTAACTTCACTAAAACAGATTAAGTAGATTAATGCACATCGTAGATTGGCGGCAAAGGCTGGGACTTGAGAGAAATGCAACTGACGTGCCTTTGAGTGTGGGATTATGTGGACGGTCGGAGCGCTTGACGGACCTCAGCGGGGAGCATTAAGCCAGGTGGCATATGCTGCCCGGTTCAACGGAGTCCACAGTGTTGAAACGATGCCAGCTGTGAAAAAAGGTCAAGGGGCGACGCATTCTCACTGTATGTTCGGCAGCGAGATTAGGCCACTCGCTTTACCGAGTCCCTCTAGAATGGGTCAGCAGTTTGTTTTGAAGCCTCGTGCATAAGCCGACTTTTTTTGGACTACAAAAAAACCCCCATTTCGGACAACTATGTGTGTAACAATGTGCGTCCAGATGTGGATTCATTAGTCTATGGGTTGTCGGCGAGTGCTTGCTTTGCATAATATCATGCCGCTTGTATAGATGCTTCGGCAGTGTTTTGAATTACTTGAGCCGTGACTCATTCATCCTTGGTTTCACAGCATCGAGTCTAATGACAAAGGAGCAACACACTCACCGATGCAACGCTACCCAGACAGAAGTTCATATCCAGCAAAGCAGATATAGCATGAGTAATTTGGAGATTATACTATCTGGACCCAGTGACTGTAAAGGCAATAGTTACTCTAGCCTACAGTGTTCACCCACGCTGCAGACTGTTAATTTTTATCCCCACTCCCTAAAGCGCTTCAAGTTGCATCAGTGCACTGAAAAATAAGGATGGGAAAGCTACTTTTCTGAGAGCTGCTCAGGCCTTGAAATATTCAAGCTGATAACGACGACACAATGAAGATGTGGAGAGAGGAAACGGGGAGCTTATTGCGTCAGTGAATAATGTGTTATTTACAATAGCGAAAGTATTAACTTCACCTGTTTACTCTGAATTTGGAGTCAATGTCAGGCAGAGTCATGTGTTCAGAGAGGCCTGTGATGTTTTGTGAGATGAGAATACTGAAAGAGCAATGTTGCCAAATCAAGTTTTCACAGCTCTTAGTATTAGTGTTTTAATAGAATCTTTTGTTGAACCTTTCTGAATGTTATTATAGAGTATTAGTATTAAGGGTTATATAGTGATGCCATGTTCTCATTTGCACAATCCCAAGGCTACATAAAGATTAATTATTGAAATAATTGGGCAAAACTCACAAAGAATATGTCTGGGTCACATTATACTGCAGAAATTAAGGAAATAATTAAGGAACTTTATTTTGCATAAAAAAATAAAGCCTTGTTTTAGGATCTTATGTTTTATTGTAAATTATGCGGATTTAAATTTACAGTATCTTTTTGTTACTTATACAAAAAAACAATTCCATT